AAAACCATCGGCTTTTTCTGAAACAACACGAGAGCTCGATATGGTGATTTCGCAGGCACGATAATGCCACTTTCCAACATTTCTCCCAATTGTTTCCGAAACTCTTCAAACTCCGGCTGAGACATACGGTAAGGTACGCGGGTGGTTTGACACTCAGAATAAGTTCAATCTCATGATCAATTTTCCTTCCTTGGTGGCTTTTCTTTGGTAACTCATCCAGCATGATGTCCTCAAATTCCTTAATAAGCGTCCTAACAAGTTTTGGAATAGGGCATGTTACCTCTTCGATCTCCTTTAATCAAAGAGTGCACAAAAATGAGGGTTCATTCCTTTTGAAACCCTTACCAAATTGCATGGACGAAATACTCCTCTCGCCCATCTTCCTAGCTTGGTGTAGTAATAATGCACAATTTAGTACCCATCATCATTAATGAATCGGAATATTGCAACACTACTGTCATAGTATCCCGAAAAAATTTCAATCCCAAAATAAGTTTGAAGTCATCAATCCGAACTGCAGACAAGTTTGTCCTTCCCTCGAAAGGACCCGCTTTGACAAACACAGATTTAGCTACTCCAACTATTGGTTGAGCAGCGGAGTTGATTGCTTTGACCTTTCCACTAACTTTCTCCAGAACAAGTCAGAGTCACTCCGCTTCGATACTTGCGAGGTAGTTGTGGATAGCACCAATATCTACCATAACCCTAATTGGCTTTCCATTGATCTTCACATCAATGTCCATTAGGCCTTTGGCCCTACAAATGCGAGTCTTCGATTATTCCATATTTATCCCTTTCGAGGGAATATCACCATCTCTAGTAGTTCAGTGCGATAGTGTATTACACCGATGTGAGAATGCGCCAACTACATTCTCATCCTCTTTCGAGTCGATCTCGCCATGATAGCTAGCTTGTGGGACATCTTGTTTCGAGCTCATTCTACCATTCGTTAGCTGACAATAATTCACCATCCGTTTCTGAGGACAATAATTCAATAAAACTTTTTTAAAATAAAAAGTGCATTTGGCTTCTTCAAATTTAGAGTATCTCTAAGACGCTATCTATTTTTGAAGAGTATATTCGATAATTTAAACAACATGTGTAAATTTAGAGAGTAAAAACTTTTAAATACTCCAATAATATTTAATGTTATTACTCTAAAAAATATTATTATTTTTTCTTATCTTCTATTTTAATTATATTCTCTCCAAATTATTATATTATTTTCCTCAATTGAAAGTTGAAATGTTTTGAATACATTTAATTATAGAGTGTGAGTTTGACTCTCTAAAATTGGAGCGTCAAATTCACTTTCTAAATTAAAATGTTAATTTATAGAGTCACTTGGAACTTATTTTTCAAACATCTCTAAAAGACTTTTTAAGTACAAAATGCTCTTATAATACATAAGATACTCTTTATAAATAAAGAGTCTATTAAAAATGCACTAAGGGTTGATTTTTTAAAATTAAGAGCATCTTATTTTAAATAACATCTTGAAGATGATCTTAGATAGTCGAACACATTCTCTATTATTAATGTATAATGATTATATTTAATATAAATCACATATTTCAATATTCTGTTTATTAAACTATTCAAACTACATTGAAATTGATATATTAAAAGTTATGTTAAAT